CCGGTTTTCAGATTGGTCCACATTAAGGTCTAAAGGGTCCAAAATAAAACTGTGTTTGGTTTCAACAAAAATTGAATTCTTGGTGTTCTTTGATATGCTGAATCTAACCATGTATTTAAATTTTGGATATTGGATCATAAAAGGTAAATGTCTAATTTCAAATTTTTAAGTTTTTAGACCACATTTGTTCTCTGTCGGGAATCCTATGCTATGTCAAATATTTAATCACAATCCGAATTCAGAGCGGTATTGTACAATTAATAGATATTGTAAGTAGATTCATAGTTAAAAATAGATATAGCATCACATTCTAATTTCAGAGAAGAAATTATTTACAAATATAGTTTGAAATTTACTGTTCATTATAAGATACATGTATTTTGAAAAATAATTAAAGGTTAGTCTTATAGATTTTTTTAAGACATTGTATTGATAATGAATGATGAATGATATTTTGTAAAAAAATTGTTTTGATGAAATTCGTATTATGTTTGTTTGTTATTCTGTATAAATGAATTTTCAGAATGCTGTATATATATATACATAATTACTCTAAATATCAGTACAACAATGTTAAATCTGCAAATTTGCGGAAGCAAATTTTTGTTCTTCCCTCGTCGGGATTCGAACTCATACTATTGGGATATCGAGACAACACATCCTGCACTGTGTCCAGCGCTCTAGACCACTCGGCCACCTAGATTGAACTAAAAATTCAGCTTTCGGTCGCCTAGTGTTACCTTTCCTCGTCAGTAGAATCTAGAGTTGTAACACAGTACATGATATATTAGGCATGAATATGAAATTGATTGCAGATTAGCTAAGTTATCTGTGCTAAAGGATCGATTGATGCAGTCACAAAAAATAATTATTTTGATAAGTATGTCTAAACAAGTGACAACTCTAGGACAGATCATCACCAGTGAAGGTGATACACGGTTAAAACACATATTATATTCATAAATAATTATGAATATAATATGTGTTTTCAGTCGTGTATCACCTTCACTGGTGATCCAATTGATGGATCTGTCCTACAGTTGTTACTTGTTTAGACTTTAGGATGAAGCAAACCCCTTTACAAATTAAGCTAATTTTGTCTATTAATACATAAATGAATAAAATTATTGGTGTACTTGGGATATGCTGAATCTAACCGTGTGTTTAGATTTGGATATTGGACCATGATAGGGAAAAATCCAATTTCTAATTGTTCAATTCTTTAACCACATTCATTCTGTGTCAGGAATCTATGATGTGTCAAATGTTTTATAACAGTTCAAATTTAGAGCTGTACCAAACTTGAATGTAGTGTCTATAATTGCCCTAACTGTTCATGGTTCGACCTTTGCGGTCGTATCAAGCTGCGCCCCGCATTTTATTATGTATGGATAGTAAACTTAAGATTTTTAATAAAGCAGATAAATTCATCCAAAACAAGATAAAACAAGCTAAGTAGTGTAAAGTATGTGGTACGAAAATAGAAAATTATATTTTAAATGCAACAATGAAAAAAATATCGAAATCATAACACGTTAGCTTATTATAGACCAGTCAATCTATAGACAGGTGTTTTGGGATAAACTCATCAATGAAGTGTCCAGTTAAGGACATTAATCCGGTTAAAGTATCTAAACACAATATGTGTAATCGTAAAGTAAACAGTTAGACACAGCCGTTGATTGTCTTGTAAGACGGATTTTAAAAACATGTAAAAAATGACACATTGTTAAAATTGTGGATATGAAAGTATAACTATGACGACAGCAGTATAGTGACACTATGACGACAGCAGTTGCAAAATATGCATATATCGTTATTCTTAAACGCTTTAATATACGTTTTTTCTTCCTTTTATTCCGAATGCATCTTTTTTGTTGGAGGAGGGGGGCAGTTGGATAAGTTGCAAATGGTACTTCGACCTTATTGATTTCCTTTATTGAACAGCAGAAGAATAAACTAGTGAGAAATCTAGGTTTCAAATATTATAACGCAAATCTCTGTATAAACGCTTGTGAATTTCTGTAAAACTTTTGGCTTTAGTTGCCATAAATCCACATTCTTCTACTAAATGCAATTAATCAATAAACATAATTTATGTGAACGAGGCTTCCCGTTGGTATATGTATAAAATGTCTTATATAGATATAAGAAGATATGGTATGAGTGCCATTGAGACAACTCTCCATCCAAGTCACAATTTGTAAAAGTAAACCATTATAGGTCAAAATACGGACTTCAACACGGAGCCTTGGCTCACACTGAACAGCAAGCTATAAAGGGTCCCAAAAATGACTAGTGTAAAACCATTCAAACAGGAAAACCAACGGTCTAATCTATATAAAAAACGAGAAACACTTATGAACCACATCAACACACGACAACCACTGAACATCAGGTTCCTGACTTAGGACAGATGCAAACAAATGCAGCGGGTTTAAACGTTTTAATAGGCGCCAACCTTCACCCTACCTGAAACAATAGTGTAACATAGAAAGACACACTATAAAATATCAATTGAAATGGCCTTACTCAATCAAAGGACATATTAACAAAAACAAGTGAACATACACTGAACGAATAAATTTGATCTATGACACAATGTAAATACAAAATAAATAAAACAAGGGGGTCAGATGCAAAACAATATCAGAAAGACAACCATAACCTTGGAAAAAATGCCGCCAAATAAAATAACGTACACAGGTAAGTAAAAATAATTTTGTTGTAAGGTATACATGGAGTATGGAAATAATTTTTACAAAATAAATAATTTTGTTGTTCCTAGTACGAGAACAAAAGGGAAAATTTATCGTCATACTAAACACTTATCAAAGGTGGTATATATTAAAAATAGTGAGACTAGATATAACACTGAATAAGTAAACATTAAATAACAAAAAATACATTACAAATTGTATCAACAGGTCAAATTAACACGAAAGTCCGATTTGAGAGTACTCGCAGTTACTGAAAGCTAGTTAAAAGCCAAAAACAATAATAAAAAAATCATGCATCAGAGACTAAAATCAACTAAAACACATCCCAGGGATTTAGTGTTTTAACGTCATTGGCAGTCCAAAAAGACAAGACTTGTGCAAAGCCAAAATAAAAGTATCGACAGGCAGTAGGATAGTTAGAAGTTAACCTGTTAATAAATATGTATAATGTAATATATAGATAAAGTAATCTCTATATAGAAAATGAACGTGGATGTGTATTTATACATCCCAAAAAAACGTTTGAAAAGAATACAAATTTAGTTATGTTTTAATTTGCTAATGACAAAATCGATATTTGTGCCAATGTAAACTATATTCAAAGATTTTTGTCTCTTTTATTCAGTATTGTTCCTGTTTTGATCTTTTATCTTTAGTTTAACTGGTTGTATAATGTTACATGTTACTTTTTGTTGTGTTGGTTCAATCAGTTATGACTTTGTTTACCTGATATGTATCTTTTTAAAAGTTTCACATTCGATAAGGTTTTGAATTTAAAGGAATTTACATTTACCAGTAGTTTATAAATCTGGTGATCTAGACGTGTGCCATTTACCCATCACTACGGTTAAAAGCCTCATAAATAAAAGCAACAGCAATATACCGCTGTTCAAAAGTCATAAATCGATTGAGAGAAAACAAATCCGGGTTACAAAAAAACCGAGGTAAACACATCAACTATAAGAGGAAAACAACGGAACAACAAAAACATTGAAGTTCAACAAAAACAAACGCCAACATACATAGAAACGAACTATTCGGTGTGAGCCAAGGCTCCGTGTTGAAGGCCGTACTTTGACCTATAGTTGTTTCCTTTTTACACATTGTGACTTGGATGGATAGTTGTCTCATTAGCACTCATACCACGTCTTCTTATTTATATTTGATAACAACTGCCATATTCCTGACTTGGTACAGGACATTAACATAAACGATTACAAATTTACATTTTTGTTAATATTTTTATGCCCCACCTAGGGGCATTATGTTTTTCGGTCTGTGCGTCCGTTCGTTCGTCCGTTCGGTTGTCCTTTCGACCGTCCGTTCGTCCGTCTATTCGTCCGTCTGTCCCGCTTCAGATTAAAGTTTTTGGTCAAGGTAGTTTTTGATGAAGTTGAAGTTCAATCTACTTGAAACTAAGTACACATGTTCCCTATGATATGATCTTTCTAATTTTAATACCAAATTAGAGTTTTGACCCCCAATTTCATGGTCCACTTAACATAGAAAATGATAGTGCGGGTGGGGCATCCGTGTACTATGGACACATTCTTGTTTTATCTGCTGTTTTTATTCTATTATTCTTTTGGTCTCTTTGGTGTCTTTTCTTTTTACTTAATACGATATATTCTTATTTGTATATTAATAACATCTGAATGATAAGCATAATAATTACCCCAAAATTCATTTTTGAAATCATCAACAACATCTCTCCTGTCGTTAGCGATAATTGCATCGAACAAGATATCTCTTATGCCTGTCGACTCTCCTGCTTTTCTTTTCCATTTAAGTAGTCCTTCATACATTTGATCCACATGATCGTTTGTAGCAGATTTTATCTGTTCGATCTCATGAGATTTTATGTTTAATGCTATTAGAACGTGTTTTCCTTCTTTTCCTAATCGTCTAGCTATATATAAAAGTTCTTGTTCGGTAATTTTGTTTTCACCTAAAATGAAGATGAAGTTATTTTTGTTATCGCTATGGTTGAAATAGCTTATCTACATTCTGCAAGAAGAAATCAGAAAAGCTGACTGTTCCTGTGAAATTCATTCTTTATTTTTGTTTTCATTACGCCCAAAAGAAATTTAATTTAATTTGTTAATGATGTATGTGCCAATTATCTCTGTTTTTTGCCTTGTTGTATGGACTTCCCCTTTTTGAATATATCTTGGAGTTCGGTATTTTAGTTATTTTAATTTTCATTAGTTAACTACAAAACAAATTTTCATGACCCTAATTGACTGTCGAGTTTACAGTTTTAAATACCCCTCCAGTACATTAGTCAATTGACATGTTTACTTTAATACCTTCATTCTTTCGCTTTCTGCTCGTGGAGGCAATGTTGGAAGACCCTGAAATAATAAACATCATAATTATAAAACTTAATGGTAAGGTTGACATGGTTCAGATTTTCACCCAAAAATACAACACTTATTATGCTACGAAATACTGAATCAATAAGATTTATCAATCCGATTACATTTAATACCAGAAAAAAAAAATCTGAGTCATTGAAAGCTTTGAACGTAGGAATCTTGCATTTCAAAGAAACAAATCATTATACCTTCCATAGACAACTGGAAGCGCTCATTTATTTAACCACGACATTATTTGTCCGTAAACATATCACTTACCTATTGTTTCGACAATTGTCTTTTGGATAATTTCAGGTACGATCTAAAAAAAAAAATACAATCTCTTAGACCAAATGTCAACTTCAACAAAGTGTTCCGAACATATAAAGTAGTGGGATGTTCTGCTATACACATATTTCCCTTTTAGAGGCGCCATTTCAAGTGAGATGCATATTCTACAAGGAAGTGATTTTGATTACAAGTTTACAAGAACATGTCATGAATAACAAAAATATATAATAATATAGAAATTACATTTGCTGCTTCATACCAGTTACTGGACCAGCAGAAGCAGCAGGAAATGCTTACCATGCCAATAAAGACCTGCCTCTCTCTATTTTGAATGGCAACAGTAGTATACCGGTGTACAAAAGTCATAAATCGATTGAGAGAAAACAATTCTGGGTTACAAACTAAAACCGAGGGAAACACATCAATTGAATGGACGTGATTCCGATTGTTTCCCTACTTTGACATTAATTGACTGATTTAGTTAACCCGAATTAAAGATAATCACGTTTAATATTCAGATACAGAGGTTAATTAAAACATAAATTATATAAATATCAAAATTAGATGATAATGTATCGGCGTTTCAAAAAATCTTTTCTATGCATCTATGTATTAAAGTAAAGCTTTCTGTTAAAATACAGGTTTAATACATCCTATACTTTGAAATACAAGAATTTTTGAGATTTACAAAACTATGCTATAGAAATCATTATTTACCGTTCTTAAATCCTCATTTCTTTCCATTATCATCAACATATGGGTTTGGAATTGATTGTAAATAGTATTATCTAACGGTCTGACTTGTGCGTCCTTCAATTTCTGTTTCACTTCATCTTCGTTTTTACATTTCCGTCCTATGGTCAGCAAACATTTCTTGATTTGTTTGAAATACTTATCATAATCTTGTTGAGGAATAGCTCCTTGCTTAGCGTGTCCGTATGCAATATTCCTCAGGTGTGTTAGCTCTTCAACTGCATTTCTCTCTGTAGACCCTTGTGGTATACTAGTGGTAAAATTCACCAGAAGACACCTTGTGAGTGTTAAGTCAAGATCTTCCTTTTTGAAATTAATATTAATTGGAAAGCAGCATTGTTTAGAGCGACTGTTTGTATTGTGTCCTGGTAACCTTGTAACACTTGTAGTATTAAAAAATAAATCTAACTGTGCTGGTTTCAAAATTCGACTTGATGGACCATTTATTGGTTTACGAACGTTTGGAAGACAAAGACAGCATGGCTGATTGTTGTAACAAAGATGGTATAGTTCGTGTGCGTTCCTTTCTAAAAATTCTTGATAGGAAATCCCTTCGGCAGTGAGATATGCATCTAACAATCCTATAAATGAATCTTTGGCGTCATCTACAATCAACGTAGAAAATCTATAGAAATTTTCTTTTTCTTTTTCATTCGACATTTCTGTTTGGTTCCACTTTATCAACTGGAATAAATAATGCTTGCATTTATTTTTTTTGTTTTTCAAGTGTTTACCCATAATTGATTGACAAACATTTTGTATAATAACAGATCACTATTTAGTTTAGGTATCCTACATATCACACTTGCTTTGAAGACGTAGAAAGAAAGAACTATGTGTTTTCGTCAAAATTTTCTGTTTATTAAAAATGTGTGATATAATAAAGAATTTTTTAGTAAAAAGATATGTGGTTAAAGTCAGGCAGTTAGCTACCCATAAGATTATAAACTCAAATGATCAATATAAGGCCTTAAACAATATAATGAATATGGAATGCAATTGAACCTCTGTTGTTAATTCGTGTTATAAATTTGCAGATGATAATGTTAACAAATGTGAGAATAACTTGAAAATATTCTAATCTGTTTAATTTCTATATGAGTGATTTACGATCACATCTTTTTATTCATCTTGAGCCCCTATAAAATTAAATGAAGTTAATCTAATTAATTGCCTTTTGATTACTAATGCGTTAGTTTGAGTAACAACAAGGGAGAGGAAGAACAGCTAATAAAATTAAAATTAATAAATTGTCATCATTTGCTAAAAAGAATAGCACCTGGAAACAAATTCTTCAAATAGATATAAGAAGATGTGGTATGAGTGCCATTGAAACAACTCTCCATCCATGTCACAATTTGTAAAAGTAAACCATTATAGATCAAATTAAAGTCTTCAACATGGAGCATTGGCTCTCACCGAACAGCAAGCTATAAAGGGCCCCCAAAATGACTAGTGTAAAACAATTCAAACAGGAAAAACAACGGACTAATCTATTTAAAAAATGAGAAACGAGAAACACATCAACAAACGACAACCACTGAACATCAGGTTCCTGACTTAGGACAGGTGCAAACACATGCAGCTGGTTTAAACGTTTTAATAGGTACCAACCTTCACCCTTACCTGAAACAATACAATGGCGGATCCTGGGGGGTTTCAGGGATTGGAACCCCCCCTTTTTTTTGACAATCATTGCATTTGAAGAGGACCATATAGTTGGAACCCCCCTCTTTATCCTGGGTTGGGAACCCCCTTTTAAAAAATGGCTGGATCCGCCCTTGCAATAGTGTTACATCACAACATAGAAAGACACACTATAAAATATCAATTGAAATGGCCTAACTCAATCAAGAGACATATTATTGCGAACCCAATGAAAGTTTTCCACAGTGCCATCTCTATCTTGACCAGGTATTTAAACTTTTGTAAGTTCACCTGTCCTATTGAATAAATACAATAGCTATTGTTCTCCATGTAGTTTTTTTCACTGGGACCTTTAAATTTCTTCTAAGAGAAATCTATCACTCATTGATTAATTTACCTGAGTAAAAAAAAATCTTGTAAATAGAGGAAAATAGATATAGGAAGATGTGGTATGAGTGCCAATGAGACAACTCTCCATCCAAGTTTTATACTCAAAACTGCATGTGATGTTATATTTATTCAATATTGATAATATATTTTCAATCGGTTGAATGTAAACAGTGATGCAAAGTTGAAACATTAATAAAATATAAAAAAGAAGATGTGGTATGATTGCCAATGAGACAACTCTCTACAAGAGACCAAATGACACAGAAATTAACAACTATAGGTCACCGTACGGCCTCAACAATGAGCAAAGCCCATACCGCACAGTCAGCTATAAAAGGCCCCGAAATGACAATGTAAAACAATTCAAACGAGAAAACTAACGGCCTAATTTTTGTACAAAAAATGAACGAAAAACAAATATGTAACACATAAACAAACGACAACCACTGAATTACAGGCTCCTGACTTGGGAAATGCACATACATACAGAATGTGGCGGGGTTAAACATGTTAGCGTTGATTTATGTTATTAATAATATATTAATAATATATTTTCATTCAGTTTAATATAAACATTGATTCAATCATAAAAAGTTGATTTCTGACAAAACTTTCAACATTTTTCCTTTTAAAAAAAAAAATTGTTTGACATGAATAAAAACTTGAAAATTATGATGTTCAAATTAAGATCTTCTTAAATGTATTCTATAACTAGACAAACAAAAATCAAATTTCAATAGGAACATTGATAAAACTTTTGTTTGAAATCAACTTTTAATGATTGAATCAATGTTTATATTAAACTGAATGAAAATATATTATTAATATTAAATAAATACATCATCACACGTAGTTAATGAGTATAAAAAAATTATTTTTGTCTATATATAAGAATTTTTTTTTACTCAGGTACAAATGTAAATAAATCAATGAGTGATAGATTTCTCTTAGAAGAAATTTAAAGGTCCCAGTGAATAAACTACACAGAGAAAAATAGCTATTGTATTCATTCAATAGGACAGTTGAACTTACAAAAGTTTAAATACCTGGTCAAGATAGAGATGGCATTGTGGAAAACTTTCATTGGGTTCGCAATAACAAACAAGTGAACATACACTGAACGAATAAATTTGATCTATGACACAATGTAAATACAAAATCAATAAAATAAGGGGTGACTAGTTTTAATATTTAATACATGTAAGTCTGGAAGAATAAAGAACACTTTGTTATTCAAATATGCTTATTCTTAAGTTGAAAATGTTCAAGCATACACTACTTGGTGTCTGTTTCGCAGCATGTAGTATATTTGCATATGTCAAGCTTGATATTCATAACAATTAGTTTAACGCATAAGGAAAATAAAATTTAGACTTTTAAACTTACTGTTCTTAATTGATACACACATTTAATCACTTTACTAAACCTCCTCAAAGCTATCATGTTGTACCAAGATCATTGGTTGTAATTCTTTTGGTTATAACCTTCATTCATTAATTTCGTTTGTATTAATTTCTAGGTGTATATATTACCGCGAAACTAGGTCATGCTTATTGTCACATTTTGTGTATTAAGAGTGTATTGATTAACCTAACGTTTACAGAAACTATAGTCAGTTTCAAATTAGAGCATTTAGTGAACAGCTGAATTTAGCAGTATTTGTTGTTGGTGTATTTTGCACACACTGCAAGATATTTAGCACAAATTTCAACTTCTTTATATTAGTTAATGACTGTAATTTATGATATAAGACCTTAATAAAGCTGCTTTTATTTATCTACATAGATCTTGTTGCTATTTTTACAAAGTTTGGACTTTCAAAACAGTTAAATACTATGACAATTAGAATTGATATTTTCAAACTATGTGCCAACCATTCGACAGTACAATTGGTGGCAGCGGTTAAAACAATAAAAAGACAAAAAAGGAAGAGAGAAGGAAGAAAGAGGTACATTATAAAAATCCAATAAACAAACAAACATAACAGCTTAAAATGTAGATTTAGAAATTGTTTAATGATAGTTCCAGGGACTGAAAGTGTAAACTTAGACATATAAAATTATCGAGCAATAAGAGATATTGAAACTCAAGATGTATTTTACTCCATAAGTTTATTGAGCACTAAGAGTTTTGAAATTGAAGGTACATTTTACTCCATAATATAGTTTAGCATTACGAAATATTGAAACTCAAAGTGTAACTTTACTCCATAGGTTTATTTAGCATTATACTATAACTGTTAAGTAAGTGTCATTATGTGCGATTTTATTGACTTTTGAAAAAAATGATATTCACTGTGGCCAACGAATGAAGTGAATATGATTATTCAAAAGTCAATTTAACCACATATTTACCCGAAACAAAAGGCAATACTTGCTTTAATCCGTAATCCCAGACAGAAAATGTATTTTTAAATAACTTTTAATTACCAAAAAACAATTGTACCACTAACTATTTTACCATTATTATACACGAAAAAGCATGGGACATTTTGCGAAGTGACTATGCTTTTTCCTTAGGTGAATAATCTGTTTTATTCCAAATCCAATTCATATAGAAAAACCTACTTAAATAATACAAGTATGAAATAATTACAGTTAGTGAAACTGAAGATGTGTTTTACGCCATAAGTTTATTGAGCATTAAAGTTATTGAAACTAACGGTGTTAGTTTAAAATATTTTAAAAACTAAGGGTAACTGAAATTAAACGTATCTATTCAGTCTGGAAATATTGAAAATACGAATTTGAGACACAGACAATTACTAGTTCCTGTGTTTTAAAATAGTAGAGGAGAGGGTTCTCAATGCTCCCATGTTTAGTGTTTATTTCAATTTTGTTGACTTAGAGAAAATGAGACACAACTGTTCAAAATAGTGTATCTGGTGCTATATTCCTGATTCTTACACTTCCATTATTACTATGTCTAATAGTTCCAAGTCTGGTCCTTGCGTTTCTAGATTATATACTGTTAGTTTACGTAGTACTAGATTAAACTGCCAGTCAAATTCTACGTGGGGTTACACACAAATATTAGAACTAATAGTTTTATTTAATAATGAGGCTAATTTGAACCGAACATTGACAGCAGATCAGTCAAATACCATGGCAAACCTGTCACCCCCCAGAATGTCTTGTCTCTGTGTGACGGCTACATACCTCTAAGACCATAACCCAGATGAGGGGATGGAACTTAGACGAATAATACGAGAACTTGAAAGAGAGAAATAAGTTACAAAAAAAAAAAAATAATATTATTCCATATTGATAGAACCTTAGTAGGTTTTTCTATATGAATTGGATTTTGAATAAATAAGCATATTCACCTGCGGAAAAAGTATATTCACCACGCAAAACGTCGCGTGCTTTTACGTTATGTTAAAATCGGTTGATGTACAATTGGTTTTGGTAAATTATTGTCATTATATACATTTCTCTTGGTACTCTCTCGGAATATGGAATAAAACTATTGCTGTCTTTTGTTTCGGTAAATATGTGGTTTAATTGACTTTTGAAAAACTGATATTCAATTCGGCCGCTGGCCTCAGTGAATATCAGTTTTTCAAAAGTCAATAAAACCACATATTTACCTCATCAAAAGACAGTAATTGTATACAGTCTTAACCTTCAGTACATAGTGTGCAGTCACAATATAGAAAGTGTGGTCATGGTGAACCACAACCATAAAGATGGAATCAACATAACCCAGCATACTATCAAGACACCGTAGTTAGCGAGAGAGTCTATCGGATGCAAAATCGTACATAATCATTTGAAAATCATGACTCTTATAGGTCAAAACTTCCACATTTTAATGGTAAAGGGGACTAGGAAACTTTCATGGTACAGTTAAGAAAATATTGCTGAACGTTGTAACTGGGCAACAAGCAGATGATATTATTTTAGTCCTGAAGGATGAAGCCCTGACCTTCGCCACATAATTAGCTCCTGAAATTGTTACTTCATTTTAACTGCTAAATTCAGAAACGGAAAGGCGCTTTGGAAACAACGACTTCACAGAGACCTAAAAACCTGAATTGCAGACCGTCAATAACAATACAAATAATGCATCAATGAATATGCTGCAGGAATAGAAGGTATGGTTAAGAAGGCTTACCCTTGAATGGACAAGCAACTTTTTAATAATATCAGCATGGAGTATAAGTTGTCAGAATTATATGACCAGACAATAGTTACGGGTTTTACTACTGAAAGGGTCATTTTAAACTGAACAACTCTGAAATGCCTGAATTTAGCACAAAGAAAAATGTCAAGATCTTTTTCAGTTGTTCAGTACATGTTCAGTACACTAACTATCGCGATCGATTAAGTACCAGTCAGTACTGGTTTAGGTAATTAAGAAAATAAAACCTAGCGTCCAATCCAATACTGTTAAGTACATTTTAGAACACGTCAGTTCATCGATAAAATAGTTGTTTGGGAATTTTCAGTAGCGTTCAGTACCAGGTAAATCTATCAACTTGGACATTAAATTGTTTGTGCAGATTCATAAGATTTGTCTCCCTTTATTCGAGCTTGTTTTTAATACCCTTATTTCTAAATTATATTCATTTCCTTCCGTGAAAATTTGTTTGCTTTATTCAATTGTCCAAAATAAAATGTATGTGACAGTTGAATGAGCATAGATTACAAATAAAATGAATTATGTTTTCGGAATTGCGTACAAATTTACATAGCTTTAACGGCCGGAAGTGGCTATTGACAAACATTAAAGTTAGCAATCCCAGCTTTCGGTTAAATTCGAGGTTCTACAATTTGTAACCTTGTGTATTTATTAACTATCAATAGCACATGGGTTTGTTGTTATATTTGGAACATGTGTCATGTTTACAATAATATTTAAATTATTTTAGCATAACAATAAGTCACCTTAACATAGTTAAGAGTTTAAAGTTTCTTTATATGACAGAACGGACTGGTCATTCGCGGTAAAAGTTTACATTGAAAATACATTTTCATAGTTTTACCATTCGAAGCTCATTCTTAGTGCAGTAAAGTTCGCTCAAGCACGCCGCAACTAATGCACATGATAGAGGTGAGTCACAGTCCCATGTTCCTACTATTCAATATCATTTCAACGATGAAATTCTGAATGGCTTCTAAAAATTCAAAAAAATGGCCCTCTTTAGATTCTCCAACTTACAGTATTGTGTCTGAGTTTATAACTAAACTAAAAGCTAGGAATAAGTCGATAAGGATTGCCGACAGCACTGCAGGGGTCTGGACTACAGTACGTGAATATGAGGCAAATACCATCGCTGAAAACTCCAACGATGAAAAGAAGACTAGACAGGCCGAAAGTCGTGCAGTTATGTCAATTAAAGAGAGGACCAAAGCTCGCCCTTCTCCGTACAACAATAACAACAGAGCTACCCAATTTGCTAAACCAGCTGAAACTGTGCCGACTCCTGCTTATTCTCAGCCTTACAGTCGCTATTCTCAACCTCCACAGCCCTTTCGTGCAGGCAACGAGCGGCCCAGTATGACATGTGTCACCAGTGTAAACAGGTTGAACATTTGCGCAAGAACTGTCCACTCAACAGGATCCCGACATTTCAGCACAACGCTCAAGGATAAGGCGCCAAACGATTTTAATCCGGTATTTGATAATAAGTATCTAGATTGTGAATCATATTTTTCTGAATGGGATATTGAAAACAGTAATGACTATATATCTACTTTTCATGGTGTAAAGGGGGGTTTCAATAAACATATTGAATTTTGGAAAAATATTGGCGCTAGTGATTTTGTCATTAACACTATAAAAGGCAGTTACATTATACCGTTTTTAGAAACCTAAACAGATGCACTGTAAGAACAAAAAATCTGCCTTTATGAATGAGAAATTTGTTGATGAAGCTATTTCTGATTTATTAGATTCTGCGTGTGCTAAGCTAGTCCCTTTTAAGCCTTTCATCGTGAATCATTTGAGCGTAGCGCTTAATTCATCTTCAAAACCGAGGTTAATATTAGATCTCAGTATTTTGAATCAAAGTGTTAAGAAAGATAAGTTCAAAAGACTGGAAAAATGCAATTCAATATTTTGCGAATGATAACTCTTTATATAAATTTGATTTGAAGACGGGATATCATCATTTTGAAATTTGTCCCCAACAGAACACCTTTTTAGGTTTTTCCTGGAAACAACCGTATTTCTGTTTCACAGTCTTACCTTTTGGTTTATCAACAACTCCTTTTATTTTTTCAAAATGTTTACGTGAGATAGTTAAATACTGGAGAAGAAATTCTATAAAGATAGTTTTATATCTGCATGATGGTTTTGGCATGGCTCCTACTTTTGTAGAATGTAATAAAGATGCTATATTCGTTAGAGAAAGCCTTTCGTCAGCTTGTTTTCTAATAAGCGAGAAAAAAATCTATGTTCACTCCTGTTCAGGAGCTGGAATGGCTCGGAATCATTTGGAACTCACTTAAATTGTGTGTTAGAATTGAGAATGGAAATGGGGAATGTGTCAAAGAGACAACAACCCGACCAAACAGCAGAAAACAGCCGACGGCCACCAATGGGTCTTCAACACA